CTATTCCCCATCCCTTTCAAACCCAGGCAGCCCCAAGTCATAAATGAGGGATTGACAGGAGGACCCTAGGGCTGAGACTTTACAACAAGGACCAGATTTGAGATTCAGGACTACGTAGAAACCAGAAGGGAGAGCAAGGATGCATCTGAGATGAGGAGCAATGGACTGGGGAAACAAAGCCTGTGCTTAGGGAATTGTTGCTTGGATCCTCGTGGGAAATGCAAGAGGAGTGAAGGGACTTGGCCTCAGTGTCCTAAGGCCTGGAGAGTTGGGTCATGGAAGGAAATGGGAAGCAGAAAGTGGACTAAGCAATCAGCCAGCTGATCCAAAGTGAGAAGGAAGAGTGACTGGGAGGGTGGTGAGATGGACAATGTCACCAAGCCCTGGCAGGACTAGAGCTTCGCTATGGGTGGAGGGTATGCCAGGGCAGATGTGCTGGATGCCTGACTCTCTTACCTCCATGCCCTGGACCTTCAGCTTCATGTGGTCCTCTCGGGTGGTCTTCCCATCCTTCCGCTTCTTCCAGAGGTAACCATCCTTCCGGTATTTCACCTTCTTGCGGTTATAGAGGATGATGGAGCCATTCTGAGGCCTGGGAATGGAAAGGTTGGTCTCAAGTTCTGTGAACAGAATCCAGGTCCCCTGCCACTCCCTACCTTCTCGAATTTTCTCACCTTGTCTTTGGGGCACAGGATAGCCACTCATCATGCTTCTCAAAGGTGATCAAGTAGGATGCAATCTCCTGTAGAAGAGGAGGTACTCAGATGGGTGTCCCCTCATAGAGCTCAGCCTCTTGGCCATCCCCTTAGTCAGTCTCACTCTTATGGAGCTATGGCAGCTAATGGAGGATGCTTCCAGCAAGGCCCACTGCCCTTCAAAAAATCCCAGGTTCCTTCTGAGCTCAAAGTCTAATCATTCCTTTCCCTCCCTCCCAACTGGGCCCTCTACCTTGGAGCCATTTCCAAGTTCATCATTTATTCTTCATACTGTGTATTATTTTGTCTTCAAATCCCATTTTTGTGCCTCTTCCTGTCTTTTTATTGTATTATTTTAATTCACCAAAATGGGGGGGGGGGTTGGGGTAGAGTGAGAAAGAAAGTCGCCAGGTCTGGGAGTCAAACAGCAATCGGCCATGTGGGAGTCCAATGCCATGATCACCATGCCACTAGCTGGCTTCACTTAATTTTCTTTTTAAGAATTATTATTTATTGGGACCAGCAGTTAGCATAATGGCTATGTCACTGGACTCACATGTAGTCGACCATGGTTCGAGTTCCGGACCCGGTGGCTTAAATTCATGCCGGGCGCATGTGTGTGTGTGCCCAGGATCCTGAGAGGAGAATGAAGGAGAAAGGATTGCGGCGTGGCCATCCCCCCTGGGGGGTGATTTCTTGCTTTCTATCTCTCTGTCTTTCTGGTGAGTGCACACACCCTATAGCAAAAACTTCTCCAAAAAAAGAAAAAAAAATTGAATTATTATTTACTTTAACTTTTATTTATTTATTTTAATTTGACCAGAGAGGGAGAGAGAAAGAGAAACAAAGAGAAAGTGAGAAAGCAAGCCACCAGGTCTGGGACTCAAACCACAGTTGGCCATGTGGCAGTCCAGTGCTCTCAACCACCACGCCACCTGCTGGCCCCTCCCCTTAGTGTTTAATAAAATATTTTCAATGGTTTGACACTGCCAAGAATTCCAGATTCTTGGGACCAGCAGATGCTGTAATGGTTACTTTGCCGGACTCATACATTGTCAATGGCGATTTGAGTCCCAGACCCAGTGGCTAAAATTCATGCCAGGTGTGTGTGCATATATGCCCAAAATCCCAAGAGGAAAATGGAGGAGAAGAGATTGCACCATAGTCATCCCCCCTGGGGGGTGGTTTCTTGCTTTTTGTCTCTCTGTCTCTCTGGTGGGTACATGTACCCTATAGCCAAAAATGTCTCTGCAAAAAAAAAATTCCAGATTCTTTAGGCTGATTCCCAGGGTTATCCGAACAAGGGAGCCAACCATCATTGCTATTATTTATCCCACTGTACCTACCAGTTCTGCCAGATGGATCCACTGATCCCTCTCTGAATGTGCCCTGAGCAGCCACTTCCTGCAAGTCAGTGCCCTGTGAGGCGGAAGTGCCATATGCACTTCTCTTTGTGTCTGGACAGCCTATCCATCCTATAAGTCGAACCTCTTCCCAGACGTGCCATGAAGCCCTACTGATCACCTTGGCCCTTCCAGGAGGCTCTGTAGCACTTAATGGCAATCACACATGGGTATCTCCTTTGCACTGCTACAGCTCTTCTAATATCAAATAAATAATTATGGACCATTCCCTACATACAAGGCACTAAGTGCGCAGAATACAGAAGGTGTGTAACACAAGGACTGTGCCCTCCGGAAGGAGCCAGTATCAATGATGGTTAAACGCAGGGGCTCTGAAGCAAGTTAGATAAATGACACGAGGTAAATCAGATTCCTCATCCACAACATGGGGTAAGACACTGCTTGCTCTCTAATGTCCTCAGAGAATTAAACAACACAGGGCCAGTGCTTAGCATGGTGTTCAGTATGTAAGAAATACTTTATAGACAGTAGCTATTGCTTTTACCTTGGGGGGAATGCCAAGAAATGGGCTCCAACAAGATCCATCTCATTAAGTGTCTCCCATGAGCCCCAAAGAGTACTAGGAGCTTTGAGGGACACAAAAATACCCCCACTTGCCCTCCTCCAGCCCCCTCAGCCTTGCCAGGCCTTAATCCCCCAGGCTCCCTAGAAAACCTCATTTGTATTCCACCGTAGCCGCTCTGGAGGCAGCAGCGGGCAGCGAGGAAGACATTCCAGCAGCTTCTTGGGGAGAAAGATCTTCAGGTGGTGGCTGTTCTCTAGAGGGAATTAGAAGGCAGGGCTTAGCATGTTGCCCTTGGCATCCCTGTGACAAACAGCCCGAGGAAAGGGCTGAAGGCAATCCAGAGCACTGGGAAGGCTGAAACCATGACACAAGAGCAGGGGATCCAAGGACTAGAGGGCCACCACAGCTTGGGGAGGACAAAAGGCTGCGCCCAACTGGGAGCCTGGTTGTGAACTCACCAGCAACCTCGGTGGTGTCCTTTGTATTCATGGTGAGGGCTCCAGGGGGCAAGGTCACCCCCGGCCTGAGGGGCCGGGGGGAGGGGGAGTCTGTGCTGGGAAGGGAGAGAACAAGGTCATGGTAGCAGCCCCTACATTAATCCAGGGTGATGAGCATGAGGTGGGGGAAGGGCTTCAGAATTGGGTCAGGGTATCTCTGAAAGAGGAGGAAGAGAGAAGGGGCTGGACTATGATGTGACAGTACAGCCAGAGAATGAAAGTGAGGAACCCAAGGGTGGTGCCAGGAACCAACATGAGTGGGGAGACGCCACAGGACTGAGTGATCAGGAAGAACAGGGTGGGGCGGGGGAGGGGAGAGGCTGCCAGGGCTGGGCCCTCAGAAGTCCTGAAGCTTGGGCTCTGGCAGTATCTGGAACTCTGGAGGGGGTCAGGTCCTGGGGGCTGGGACTCAGGGCATTCAGTCAGTGGAGGTTGTTTGGCAAGAAAGCCTGAATGTTGAGAGGAAGACCTGGGTCTGGTTGAAGAGCTAGGCCTTAGACACACCCTGAGCTCCTGCTCTATTTGATTTTTTCCAAGGGGAAAGACAGATCTGATAACTGATCTTAACCTGCTCTCTCCATATTGGTCAGGACCTGGTATATTCTAGGCTAGACACTCGGGACCCAGTTTGCCACCATCAGGACAACCGGTCCTCCACCCTGAGACTAACATCCCCCTCCACCTACCACTCCCTGCACCCGTCTCCCCAGCCGCCTCTGCCTCTCCTGGCCTTCAGGCCTACCCTTCCCCATCTACCGCTCTGTTCCAGGGGGAACAGATGGGAGCTGGAGGAGGCTCTCGGCGCAGGCTCTGCCAGGTGTCCGGGGATGGAAGGGGGAGGAGGCCGTCTGAGCGCGGCTGTGTGCAGTGAAGCTGGGGTTGGGGTAAGGACTCCACCCCAGGGCGCAGGTGCGCAGTCCCGGAGCGGGTCCTGGGCTGTGGGCCCGGGCGGGTGGTGCCGGACTCAGAAGCCCGGCACTGAGGGAGGCCCCCCCGGGTGGGGCGGTGGTCCCCGGAAAACCTCCGAGGTGGGAGGGTCTTGCCCGCACACGGGGATGGTCAGAAGCTGCGGGGCCGAGTCCTTGGACGCATGGCGGGTGAGGGACAGGGCGGGTGCCCGGTGTGGGGGTCCCCGGGACACTCCTCGGGCACGCTTTGGTCTGCCGTGGGGCCCTGCGCGGAGCGGCGCCCCCTGGCGCGGGGGAGGAGGACGGAAGCGGGGAGGTAGGGGTGAACGGCAAGGAGGGACGGTGGTCCCCGTCGCGGCGCTCCACGTCGGACCGAATGGAGCTGCGCCCCCTGGCGCGGGGGCGGAGAGGCGGGCGAGAGGCCCTGGCTCTTACCTCCCGGGGTCCCGCGCGGCCATTCTACCCCACACCGACCCCCCCCAGCGCCGGCTGACAGCGGCGTCCGACGTCACTGCGCACGGGGCGGGGCCTCCCAATTAAGGGGATGGGGGTCGGGAAGGGAACCTGGGGTCAGCATGTGTGAGGTTCTGGGTGGGGCGCTGGGCGGTTGGACTCGGTTTCCAGGGCCCTGAGCCAGGCGGAGGGGTAGACTGCTGGGGAGCCCCTAAAGGGGCAACGGCGTCGGGACTTAGGATTCCGGGGTCCGGGAGGCGGAAGCTCTGCCGACTGACGCGCTGCCGGTCCAGGAGAGTGGGGCGGAGGCGGCTGTTCGGTGCTGGAACCCAGGGACTGGCGAGGAACGCTGGCCGGAGGGCGGGGACGTGGGGGGACCTATCGCTTCCCGCCAGACTTCTTGAATTTGGGGACCCAGCCCGACTTCACTGGAGCTGGGTCCTGGACAAAGTGAAAGGCGCCCCCCCACCCCCCGTTGGCCTCTGCATCTCAGCCTCGCGGAGAGAAAGACCACTGGCTCCACTTGCTTGCTTTTTATTAACAGAACGGGGAAGAACACCGGCCGCGGGCGGGGCCTACAGGAAAACGACCTGGAGAGTCCCTGGGAGCGCGGTGGGTTGAGCCTTAGGAAGCTGTTAGCGCCTCACTAGGAGGAAGGGCTAGGCTAGGCAGTTGGAGAGGCTGAGGAAGGGGAAATGCCTTGATGTCAACCATGGGGCGATTCTAGTGATGGCACTGGGCTAACATCTCGCCTCTGCCTCCGGTGGTTCCTCCTCACTCCTCTGGCTCGAACTCCACCCAATGGGGAGTGGAGAGGGGGTTCCTGCTAGTGGCGACAGTGCTGTAGGAGGCCTGAGGGCCCACCCACCTGGAGGAGCAAGTCTCCTGCCCGCCCAGAGGGCTCCAGGGAGACCAGAGCAGCTGCAAAGATGAGAGAAATTAAACAAAAAAAAAAAAAGGGGGGGGGGAGGAGGACAGGGGAGTAGCTCTCCTTTCCAGATTTTCTAGCTCCCCAGTCCAGATACCCCCAAGTCTCTGGCTCTTACCTACTGTTTTTGTTCCCCTCAATTCCAACCTACTACTAGGCTTCCACCATCTGGTGGTGCAAGACCAGGGACCCACATCACCCTCCACCACCCCACGAAGTTCTTCAGTCATACCTGGGCCCTGCCAGGAGTGAGAGAGTGGCCTTCTTCCAGGTCAGGGGGTACAGTGGTGTTGGAAAACCTATACCCCTCTTCGTCAACCCCCAGGGGCTCAGATGCAGCCCCAGAGCTGCCCCACTGGGCTTTCTTCAGTCTGTGGAGATTTTAGGCTTAGGAGAGAGGGGTCTGGAGGCCAGACTTCCTGTCTCTCCATTCTTCCTCTTTCTGTTCTAAAATACTTCATGCTGGGACCCAAGGGTATTGTCATTTGACCTTTAATTCTCCGCTCCCAATTTTCTGCTCCTCTCAGACTGAAGTATTTTCAATTCAGGCACCTAGAGGTGACCCCTAGCTCCCCACTGTCCTCCAGTTTTAGCTTGCTTTCCTGTCTTCAGTGACCTAGTTTCCATTTCTTCTAGTTCATGTGGCTCATCATCCATCTGTAAGTTTCCTCCTTTCCACATTACAGAAATTCTCTTTTGATCATAGCAACCATAGTTCCCTCCCAAGCACTCTCCAATTCCCTCAAAGCTCTCAACCCTTTCCTGAACTTAAACATCCTGCCTTGAAACACTGCTTTGCTCCCACGGCCCAGCTGTCTCCCCTCCTTACTCATTGATGGTTCTCTGGCGCCTCCTTAGGTCCTCCAGGTGATAAGCAACAGCCCTTACTCGGGCTGGGATGCTTCCAGGTCCCAGTTGCATTCTCTCCAAGTGTGGCTTCCTTCTCTTTCTTCTGCAAAGCATCTCAGGGGGTGTGAGTCCCTCAGGAGGGTATAGGCCAAGCTGGGAGCAACCAGTGGCTCTCTATGCCAGAGAGGGAGGAAAGAAGCTAGCAGGCAGAACTGGGTCTTCCAGGGGAGACTAGACTGAAGTGGGAGTTAGAGGTCTTAGGATATGGAAAACATGATGATTGATTAATTGAAAGGGGGGTTTAGTCAGTGGACTGATTGGGGAGCACCTGAGGGAAAGGATAATATGGAATACTAAGGATAGGACAATAGTGGGTACAATTTTAACAGAGATGTGTTGAAGGGCAGAGAGTCTGTCATACCAGCATGGGTGGAATGTACTGTTCTTCCATCCAGGTGGGGCTGTGAAGCACAAAAAGGGGGCTAAGTGTCAATGGGACACCCCTATACCCCATCCATATAGCTTCTGTAATGACCTCTTCTAGCTACCTGTCTGGCATCAGGAGCTACAATGTCCTCATCAATGGACAATTATCCCCAACTAAGATTTATTACTATAAGGATTTATGGTAGTTAAAAATTGTACAGTTTCACTTTACCACCTTGTTAGTCTCCATTTTCTTCTTCTCGACTCACCTGGGCCTTTGACTAAGGTTTTCCCAGAAGACATCTCCATAACGCTGGGGCATCAGTCTGATGCTCTGGGAAGGCAAGCGAGGAGGTGGAGATCGGCTGACCACCCTGGAACATCTGAGGTGAGGACAAGGTAGGCTCAGGTTCGTTCAGCTCTTCTTTTACAGCATCTACTCACCCCAAAGATACATGAGCCCATCTTTCCATGAGACCATTCCTCTGCCCAGGTTCCCTCAGACCATGTCCTCTCTTATGCTTAACCATTTTAGCTGAGGAAGGTGCTGAAGCCTATTTTAAAGGAAACTTGAGCTGGTGTGAGTGTAGAGATTGGCTATTGTGGGGACCAGTAGTTGGTGTAATGACTATGTCGCTGGACTCTCATGTAGTCGACCACAGTTCGAGTCCTGGACCGGTGGCTTAAACTCACATTGGGCACGTGTGTGTGTGTGTGTGTGTGTGTGTGTGCTCAAGATCCTGAGAGGAGAATGGAGGAGAAGGGATTGTGGAGTGGCCATCTTCCTTGGGTGGTTTCTTGCTTTCTGTCTTTCTTTCTGTCTCTCTCTGTCTTTCTGGCAAGTGCCCATGCCCTCTAGCAAAAACCTCTCCAAAAAAAAAAAAAAGAGATTGGTTATTGTTTAAGTCTCAGATCTCAACGAATTTCAAGCTTCTACACCTCACTGCCACAGAACATAATATTTAGCAAGCAGAATTGTTAATGTGGGAAGTCCTAGCTACTCAGGTGATATGATAGTTCTTTTAGATCAATGCAATAATTTAGAAGGGAGAACCTCTGATTATCTCTACTATGTCTCCCTTATTTCGGAAGGACTAATATCCTTGTGGATAAGGAGAATTATGCAGAGCTGACAATAGTACTCCTTACTTCCAAGGCCCCCAGACTAAATGATGACTGCCTTCCTGATCACTAAGAAGTGGAGTGTCCTAGGGCTTGAGTCTGGGGCCCTTTATCTTTGTCCTATCTCTTATCTCTTCCTTTTTTTTTTTTTTTAAGTTTTTGCCAGAGGGCATGTGAACTCAACAGAGAGAGAGAGAGAGAGAGAAAGTGAGAAAGCACTCACCATGGGCCATGGTCACTCTGCAGTCCTTTTCTGTTTCTCCCATCTTCTGGGATTTGGGGCATGCCCATACACATTCCTAGTATTTTTCTCAAGCTACTGGGTCTAGGACTCATCCTAGCCATGTGGGATCCAATCCCTTAACCACCAGGCCACAAGTTAACTCTTCTTTTTAGTTTTTTTTTTTGTTTGTTTGTTTATTTAAGGTTTTTAGGGCATATGCACTCACCAGAGAGAGAGAGACAGATAGGGAGAGTCAAAGTGATAAATCATCCAATGGCGGACAGCCACACTGCAATCCCTTCTTTATTCTCCTCTTAGGATTTTGGGCATGCACGCACATGCATCTGGTATGATTTTCAAGCCACTGGGTCCAGGACTTGAACTATGATAGGCCTTGTGGGAGTCTAGGCTTTAATCACCATGCTACCTGCTGGCCCCAGGCTAACCCTTCTATCTCTCCTTAAGTGATATCTCTCACTCCATATATGATTTTATATATGCTGATGGGGTCAGCCAGTGGCAGTATGGTAGTTAAAGCAGCTAGATCCCACATGGCCAAGTGTGCAGCTGAGTCTAGGACTCAGCATCTTTTTTTTTTTTTAATTTTATTTACTCATTCATTTATTTTAATTTGACCAGAGAGAAATGGAGAGAGAGAGAGAGAGAGAGAGAGAGAGAAAGTGAGAAAGTAAGCTGCCAGGTTCAGGACTCAAACCATGGTCAGCCATGTGGGAGTGTCCAGCACCTTAACCACCACACCACCTGCTGGTCCCCAGGACCCAGCATCTTGAGAAATATACCAGGTGTACCCAAAATCCTAAAGGGAGGGAGAAATCGGGGAGAAGGGATTGTGGCATGATCATCTCCCATGGAAGGTACTTGTTAC